ACAGTATCTGGTGTAACTCAAGCTTTAGCATCAGAACTTTTTTCATCATGAATATGTTAACTTGGTGAGGCAGTAGTGTATGCAATTTTGCTGCACATCATGTGGTAGCTTGTGTCTGTGGACTGATTTAGGTAGAGCTTTTATAGCTCACAGTCAAATTGTTGGCACTGAGCTTAGCAAATGACAGGAGCTTGGAATTAGATTCCCAGGATTGTCTGAACATCAATGTCACAGATGCTCCTTTTCTACACTGTTTTGTTTTTTAATTCCAACAGTAGTTCTTACCTTTGTTTTTTCAAACACTGTCCTCCTTTTCACTAATGCAAGGAGCATTGATGGTGCACAGATCCTGGGAGGTGGAGTTCTCCTGTCCGCTTCAGAAGGCAAGTTGTAATTGCATTTGCATTTGTAAGAACTGCAACAAGTATCCCAGCAGCCAGCCTCACAGCAATGAGAATGAGACCATCACAGGTTCAGACAAGTGCCTGAAAATCTCCAGGTGCTTCAGGCACTCGCTAACCAGCTGCGTGCAGCGGCGAACAGCTCCTGCGTCTGTGAAGTGAGCAGCGAGGGCTGGGATCAAATCACTTGGCAGTATCCTCAAGGCCATGTCCTTGCAGAAGTCTAGAGGCTCTCTGACGCAGGACAAATGGATGGTGATTGCTATTTTACCAGGGAGATATTGTTAACAATCGCGCTTTGGGAGTTTCCAGCCTTAGGTTGTTATCATTAAGTGAGCAGTCACTTCAGTGGAAGTGATTACGTGGGTGTGCCAGCACGTTCGATGTATGCATTATGGAAGAAACAGTGTTGGAAGCAGTAAGGTTCCAAAGTTGCCATGGGTCATGTATGGGACATACGTCCTAATTCCATCTTCCCTTCCTTTTGAGTACCTGAGCAGTAAAGAAGTAAGCTTCACAATGATGCAAATGCTGGTGGGTTGCAGGGAAGGTGTCACACACATTAATGTTCGTGGGGCAAGTCAGGGACTATACTGCTTGCACATTTAAGAAGGTGAAACTTTTACAAAGGTAAGCCAGATCTTTTCACTAGGCCGGCGCATTCAAATTGGGGTGTTTTAAATATCAGGAGTAATTCCGGGGACCTGACCCACGCTTTGCTTCTTTTGGCTCACACAACTACGCGAGGGCCACTGGAGCGCAGCGGGGAGGGCCTTACCGCTGGCTGTGAAGGCGTGCAGGGTGGCTGTGGGATGTGCATTTGGTGTTTTGAAAGGCTGCCGCATAGGTTGCTTGAATTTCACTGGTCTCAATACCCTTATTTTTACTTCTAAGTGTCCTGTTTTACTTAATATTCGTGAATCAGAGTAGAAAACCTCTACCTGAGGAAATTAGAAGGACTAGTGATTTTGAATAGCCTGACACCAGTATAGTTGAGGGAGTGTTAACAGCTCGCTTTAATGGTGTGCCTTCGCTGGATGTTGCTCTTCTGTAGTTAAACTTGGCTTGAATAGGAATGTTAAATAATTTATAAAAGTCTGTTATAAATTTGGTGGAGAGGACGCTGATTTGGGCTGTGGGTTTCATTATGACTATAAATTGTACTTCATGGAGCAAGTACTTTCAATAGAAATAAATAGCAAACACACTTATTGTTAGCAAGAGTAATCTTAATCAAACCTTTGAATGGTGTTTGGAGTGTGGAGTGTTGACTGCTCCTACAGAAATAAAAGGGCTCTGTGTGTGTGTGTGTGTGTACATATGTATCCCTATCGCAGTTCTTTTAAACACCTTCCTCAAGTGCTTGGTGGAGCCTGGAAAATGTTTTTCCTTTGTTTGTCTGTTACTTCTACTATTGTAAGCTGAAGCTTAACAGACTTGCGATCTCGGTGGAAAAGAGAAATCTTGAACTTGTAAATATTTTTGCACAGAGGTCTTGCTAAAAGTATGCAGACTTGCTCAGAGCCAGACTCGTTTAGGGCGGTGTGTTTCCAAACTGTTCTGCAGCTCCATGACTTACAAGTATCACGGAGATGCTATCTGTGCAGGGGATGCTGTTAAAAACGCAAAGCCACAATCAGGGAGGGGGGAGGACAGCGCTGATTATTCCGGGTTCGAGCGTAGGGACAGTGCAGTTAATGTTGCTGAACTTGTTACAGGCAGTGGTGATTATGACAGATATATCACTTCTGCGAGTGACAAAAGTCCAGAGAAGGCAACTTTGCAAGATCACCGTGGTTCATACTCTGCCAGGCTGTGTCCACTGCCGGGATGACCGCAGAGCTTGTCAGAGATGGGCACTGGGAAGTCTCCTGTCAGAGTGGGGACAGTATGGCCACCCTTTGAAATGCCTGGGAAAGGACCAGCGATGTCTTCTGGAGACTTTATCAGGACTGTCCCTGAGGGCAGAAGGAACGTTCATTCCCAGATGATCAGAAGAAAACCCTGAAAGAGAAGAAGCCACAGCTTGCTCACAAGTCAAAGCAAATGGAACCCTACTGCTGCTCCAAGTGCTGCCTGGGTGGCAAACCCACCTCTGCCTCGTGCTGCGCAGCACGAGCGTGGTGTGTTCTGGACTCAAACGGTTGAATCTGGAAACTCAAATCATCGTTTCTTGCTAGGTTTACGTTATATGTTAACATTAGCAGACTCTCCCCACAATCACGCAGCCTGACCAGCCATTTACTAGATTGCTTACAAGGATTATTAGAAATTTCCTGTGTACTTTATTTTTTTTAATAAGGTATTGATTTCAATATATTTGTGTTCATACTTGCAATGAATTGATTTATGGTGGTAGAAATTCTGTTTTGCTGCCAAAACTTGATGGGTACTAACTAATTCAATTTTATCTTTTCTTTTTTTTTTTTTTAATTTTTTTTAAACCACTAGTTCTTTTTCAAAAATAAACTGCCTACTCAAGAATTTGGTTCCTTTGCTTTGCCTGACATTTTGAATGGGTCAAGGAAGGGCAGGAGACAGAAGCAAATGTGGACAACCCAGAGATGCTGTGCTACAGTACCACATATGTTGTGTGTCTCCTCACAGCTCTGCGTGTTCTGTCAGTCAGATCCCTGCCACCCCCAGCACTCTCTGTGTATCAGGGTAAAATGGCTCAGTTCCACTGCTTTTCTGCCAAAACTCCTCTCTTGGCTAGAGGATTTAGGGCTATTTTAAATTAACCATGCTCTTTTGTCTGGTGTATGACATCCAGAACTTGATTTGAATCTCTTGTGTCGTCGATGTAAATGTTTTGTACAATGGTTTTGACTACTCTCTAATAAATAGGTGGATGTTTTAAAAGATACATGCTGGTGTTTCTAGTCACTGAATTTAAGTATGTCAGTTTTACATACACTATAAAAATCAGAGACACTAACTTTATGTAGAATTTTGTGTTTCTTAACCCTATAATGTCCTCTGCCTGTCCCTTTTCAGATGATTATTAATGAACAATTTTTGGTTTCATATGCTTGAATTACTTTGGAAATGAGCGATCTGGGAACTGTGGAGAACAGCCACACACTTTAAAGTTTGTGTACATGCTCCTACACTGTACTTTTGTGGTGTTGTGTTTTTAAACAGCTGCCCTAAGAGCCATAAACATGGTTACGCAGCATAATAATATGTCTTGATTGAGTGGCCAGAGATCAATATTTCTGCAGGGTCGCTGTGTGGTACGTCTTCAGCCCATACAATGGCTTTGTACTAGAATCAACAGGAACAAAAGGGAAGATATTATAAATGCCTGGTGGACTCTAAATACTTTAAACAGTTTACATTCATGGGTCAGAAGAAAGTTTTAAGAACTCTGTGTTTTATTTCACTGTTTGTGAGCATTCGGGGAGTCCTGTCCGCACCATTGCTGGACTTTGCACGTTCCAGTGCTTTCATTTCACTTTTGATGTGAACCGAGTGTGAAGTGCCACAAGTGTCAGTCTGCTCTCATCTGAGCATTTGATTAAAACAAAGTAAAATTCTTTCTGCTTTTGGTAGATAAATGTTCCCACATTTAAAAGGCATGTATTATAATAAGATACTGTTTAATAGGTATGTTATCCCTTCTGTTGTCCCTTCTGCCTTAAAGAGAAAATTGTCATCTAAAGTTTAGATATATGTAAGGGCTATATTTATGTGTGTGTTTAGTTCACTCTATACAGAAGTCATTCCTTTCAGAGTAGGTCTGAAATATCTAAGAAATACATGCAATTTTGTCCTAATAATAACGGAGTATCTCAAATGCCAAACTGTGCTCTCCCTGAAAGTCTAAAAGAAAACAGTGGAATGTGCCAATATGGAAGAAACCTAAAATACTTGAAATGTAGCCAGTAGAGGGGAAGAAGAGATGTGAGGAGGGCAAACACTGGGTTGGCAGCATCCTGCTCCATCTGGGACAGCCCAGCCAGCTCCATCTCTCCACTCACCCTCCATGCACTAGAACACTTGTGGGGGAAAAGAGTCACGAGTAACAAAGTTTAAAAAAAAAACGCTTGGTACTGAAAAAGAATAAATTTCCATTTTTGGATGGCATCCACTGTGTGGTGAAACTGCTCTTGTGGGGTGGGTGCAGAGGGTGGTACTGCACGTGTGGCAGTTGTCAGATACACAGGGCAGCGTCTCTTGCAGTTCATACGTGAAAACCTTCACTTAATGTAAACTTGAGTTGCGTTCTTTGGCAGTGATAGTGTTCAGTAATTTCTAAAACATTGTTTGACTGTGTATTTAAGAATAGTGACCCCAGAATACTGGCAGAAAAAAGGAATGTGGTCCCATTTTTTTTGTTTTGTTTTGTTCTATTCTTTAGTGAGGAATTCTATAAACTTTTAAGAGGAGTAAAATAAAAATAAAATAAAAAACCCGCTACGCAAAAAAAACCAAAGCAGCCTGAAAATATTAAAAATTGAGATTCTGAGGTCTTTGCACCTTCCCTTTCTGGTTTCCAAGCAGCCCTTCTTGGAGGACTGTCTTTGTCATAGGAAAAGGAAAATACAGTTTTGTTCATTTCACAAGTTAGATTCTTTTTTTGTGTGTTATTAACAGGTTTGGCAAACATCGCAAAGATGACAAGAGTGAGAAAACTGGTAAAATAAAAGTGCAGGAAGCTCTTACTTCAGAAGAGGAGAGAATACGAATGAAGCAAGAACAGGAGAGGTAGACTTCAGTATTTGCTTAAACCTTGATAGAGAGAGTTTGTTTTTTAAATTAAATAACTGAAGTTCAATTTTCACTGATGAAGTTTCCCAAATGTTGATATGTTTATATACTTTAAATAACAAGACAAAGCTGGATTTATTTTGGACATTAGTATCAACAGCTTCTTTGGCTGCATTAAGCATCTTTTATAGACCCAGAGCTCCTTTCCTTATTGAGGAGACTGAAGTAATAACATGAAATGTTTTCTCTATACATTCTATAACTGATTTTATTGACATTTTCAGAAAACAAATATTTATATAGAATGAAATATGTTTTGTATTTTTCTTCAAAGTCTTGCATATCTAGTTTTTTCATTGATATATTTAGAAAAAACCTAAAATTTATACTTATCAGTATATTTGTCACTGGAGTTCAGTCTACTTATGTGTCATGCAGTCTGTTTATGGAATGATATGTATATTAAACTGCTAATTGTAAAAATGAGTGGTGAGTACCTCTATTTTTCCTTGTCAGTTTCCCTTAATGTTAAAAACCTATATAATATATATGTCATATGTTCTTCTCAACATTTCCATTCTACTTTTCATCCTGTCTCTTGTAGCCCTAGATATTAGGGCTTAGACTCTGGTATCTCTTATGTCAATTTAGTCAAAATCTTGGAAAGCTTAGGTTGTAAATTAACTAGTGCTCGGGGGTGCGCGTGGAGAGAAGACCTCTTTGAGTAGACAAATCTTCAGTAAGGAGACAAATTTAAAGGGTTACAAAGTTTGAATGCTGAATGGTAAATAGGTTCAGATACATTTGGCAGTGAAAGTGAACTATGAATTGGAATGATTTATCTAAAAAATATGCTATAGCTCAGCCATAAATTGAAGATTGATGCAGGAACTATGGAGCAAAACTTTGTTGTCCTTGTACAGGAGGTATATGACTAGTTAGTCCTAATGATTCCTTTGACCATCATCTCTATGCACCTTGGTCTTCTGCGGGTCAGAACAGAAGCTTATAAACGATGGCTTCATCACTCTTAACAGCTCATCTGAATAACAGAGCCACAGTAATGCTTGTGTAGTCTCCTCAGTTAAACCTAAAATGGTTTGCTTTCGGTTCTTTTAGGGTTGAGTGATTTACATTACAGTTAAGGCAAGCTAAGGGTATACATTTATTAGTTATTGAGGATCAGCAGTAACTTGTTAAACTGCAGAAACTTTATCATTTGTGACCATCTGTTCGGATTACATTATGGGAAATTTTTTACTCTTTAACAGATATACTAGCATAAATTAGTCTAAAAATTTATTCATGTCTTTATGCATTCTGACAGTAGAGTGTGCCTGGATCACAGTGCTTGGTTGTTTTTTACTTGTCTGATTGGTTTTTGTTTTCTCTTTTTCAACAAAAGTGAAGCAGGGTCATTAAATTTGTTCCTGTTTTTAAGAGTAAGGTGCCTTCAGATTAAGTGGTAAAGGGGAATACTGGAACTGAAGGAAATAAGTGACTTTGGAGATGAGGGTGTTTGTGCTGTCACCTTCCCTTTACACGTGGGCAGACAAGGCACTTTGTGGATAAACTCATGCCAGGGGTGCAGAGAGACTGAAAGCTGCCTTTGTCGTTCCAGCCAGCTCAGGGCAGGGGGAAGGTTAGCCACACGTGCACAGTGCTGAACCCAAGCTTGCCCAGCACGGAGGGTTTCTTGGAAACCTTAGTTCCCCAGAAAATCAGCTATATACATTTACTCAAAGAAGAAAGACTTGAGGTTTGAGTTAGTAACATTTTCTTTCTTTTCATTCTCTCCCTCTGTCTCTCTGTGTCTCTCTGTCTCTCTCAGTAAGAATGGTGAGAGTATAGACTGTCCATGTGGTGATGTAAGAGAGGTTGCAATAGTCACGCTGGGTACCAAGGTAGAATTATGAAATTATCTGTATAGACCCCAATGCATGGAGCAAATTCCTGATCCCTGTCCATCAAGTTATGCTAACTAATTTGAACCTTTCCTGGAATCTCACTCCTCGTGTGTCATAAAAACAATTTTATGTGTTCACTGAAACTGCAGAAAATGCATGTGCCAGAACTTCGTAACAGCTTGATGTTACCGTAACACGGGTC